CGCTCAGCCACATGTCCCATAAACGACCTCGCAAAGATTGGACAAACTGGCGTACGAAGCTTTGCTCAACACGTCGTACTCATTGGACCTCTCGCTCACCAATAACACTTTTTCCAACCATCCCGACAGCTTCTTGAGCAAGAAATACTTCAGTGTTCAAAGTGATCTGGAAACGACGTTCGATGATTTCATCGCCTACAGAAGCGCTCATTGTCACATGGGCGGGACAGTTGAGTGTGCATCTTGTTAAGAAAAATATGTAGTTTTGAATAGTTTTTGTTACGATCGAAAATGTTGAATTTGAGTGGAGATATGCTTCTTCAAAAATAGAGGTTGAAAACCCGCATTACTTTCCGAACAACCTAATACGTTCAGAGAATCGTTTAGCAGATAAGGAAGGCAGTTCTGAGCTCAGCGCCTCGAGGCGACTTCAACGGTATACGACTCATTGCAAATGGCCGGACCGGCCTGTTGACCTTCCCTCTTCAGCAACCAGCGACCTTCCGTAGTGAAAGCGCTACGCCTTGCTTCCCGGGCAGCCAAGTAACTGATTCGTGTGGTGCATATGCTCTCTCACCTTGACGTGATCGCTGCCTTTGAAACGCGGGACAGTTTACACGCAATCGCGCAAGGATCCGCAGCCACCCAGGTGTTGCTTCACGGCTTCCAGGTGGGCGTGGTTGTTCAGTCGGCTGCAATCCCCTCGGCCGACTTCCAACCACGCCCCTTCGAAGCGTTCAGCTCCCTTTCTAGCGGCTTTCCAAGGTGAGTTTTTGTTCAGTCACACTTCTTATGTTCTTGACTAGGGCTAGCGCATCGTTCCACACCATTAGTAATGCAAGAACCCTGCTGGAACTGTTGCTTCGAATAACGATTTCACTTCCTGCTCACCGTTCCTCGACTCTTTGCAACTACAAACAAAGTTCAAAAACCATCAGTTAACACTGTAATACTTTAAATTTATTAATGAGCACTTCGAGTAACAAACAAAAAAAACATAAATTAACGTATTGAGACACTTCTTCTTGAGATAAAAGCCATTAAACAACGAAACAAACGAACCGGCAGAAGAAAACTCGACACATATATCACATGAAATACCGGAATAAAAGATAATAAAACCTGGTACTAGGAACAGATTGAACATAATTTAACCAAAAAGTGAAAAACAAAGGCATTAGTTCATAATCATGACCTAGGTGTGCTATTACGAGCACCTTTTTGAATACGAAGCGATGGGATTCGGGTCGGTCTCTCATCGGTCGTCGAATCCGAGGCACGGGAATGTGATCGAGAAGTTGGAGTCGCTAACGAGTCTCGACTTGCCGTCAACAGTCCCCGACTGCTCGATTCTGAACGAAGAACCTATTCAGCAGTGAATTCTAGCACAGACCAAATTAAAGAGTCTAGCTCACCCATCTCGTTATCGTGCTGCTCTCTTTTATGTGGGAACATGGGCACGCTCCTTTCTGTCTTCTCACGTACTTTCATTATGGGTCCTTGAGTGACCTGCAAAACTCACGCGTCAAAAAAGAAGCATAAAGATAAAGGATAAAGCATTTGCCGTTGATCAATCCCTTTTGGGATGCGGCACGCATTCTACTTCCATTTGTACATTCGTAGTGGCGTTTGAATGCGATGTGGCCTATACAATGACTTGCGGGGGCCAGCCGATGTACAAGTCAGTGTTTTTATCCTCCCAGACAAGTCTGGTTAACCGACCCCGGAGGGATGGAAGGCTTGGTTGGCCCGGGCGACTCACGACCCAGGATTTGATCCCGGACCGCTCGCGTGGTAAGCGTGCCGCTGTGCATACACACTTCCAACACATATGCAGTATAGAAAAAGTTTTTCAAAACACCAATACAAAATGAGATTTTTTTATTTCCGCCTTGTAGGAATCTTGTTAAGAGCAAATATAGACTTACTGTTTGATGACCTCGGGCGAGCTATCATGTGTCTCTTCGTGAACGCACGCATCGACTGTCAAATTCGCCTGTGCTTTGGGTAACATCATGTTGATAGAACCATGTCGATATTCAAGACAGAGCTTGAAATAAACTTAATTCAATTACTTAACGTACAACAAAACCCAGTTAAATGTAAACCAGTGCTCCGCGAAACTGCAAATTTGCTAGCTGAATGTGAAACTTCTGGCAGCCACCTCGGTCCAAATCCCATCGACACAGATCATATACACCCATTACGGACCGCACCTTATAATGTGGCCCCAACTCACAAAGTATTGTCATGTTTATATCAAGGTAAAACCAATGATTCTTAACACGTTAATAAGTTAGAATCCAATAATTAATATTAGGTTGTAGGGAAAGTTCTCGCGGTTTTTCGAAGCACGTTGAGCTCTGGTTGAGCAACTTTTTTGAATCGAAGCCAGAAAAGTTCTTTGCCGAAGGCATCAAAAGTCTGCCCGAAAAATGGCGAAGAGTGATAGAACGTGATGGTGATTACTTTGTTTCCTAATATGTTTTCTTCGTCTTGTTTGTGATCAAACATCTTTGCAGCCATTTTTCGGGCAGACTTTTGAATTTCCTTCGGCCAAAAGAACTTTTCTGGCTTCGATTTTCGAAAAAGTTGCTCAATTTCAATTTTTCCCCAAGGGCTGCTTCGAAAAACCGGCGGAAATCCTGTTAAGAGTATAGTGAATATCTTGCAACAATCCGCTAAGGCGGAAGAGACTTTCCTCTACACCGTATGGTATTTTCTGTGCTCGTAAAAGCTTACCGTTGAAATTGCTGCTTAAAAAATGGTAAATAGACCGAGGGTGATAATTCTTTACCGCGTGGCAGCGTGCTGCACGTGGTACGCAATGGGTTAATTTGTCATCTCTATCAAAAAAAAACCATCCAATTTCTAATTGCTCTGAGATTATAGGAATATGTACACACGGGGGAATTCAGACGAAAATCAAGAGACAAGTTCCTGCGACATCGCAGTTCACGAAAGCCCCAAAAGCCCCAAAATGGAACTGGGAATGCAGCCTAGTTGGTGAGAGTTTAGAGCAATGAAAAACACCACTAGTGAAACTAATTAAGTGAAAACTGTAGATATCTAGGTATGTGCTCAGCATCAGTTTCCTGCATCTCAGAAGGTAAGTTCCTTTTTGATGTTCACGAGCCTCAGTTAAGTGAGAAACAGCTTATCAACGATAACATCGTATTTTATGAATCACACTTACCTTTGCTCTGCACGGATCATGTTTGGAGAGGAACTCATCCAAGGCTTCCCAACCGCCTCCTACTCGTACCATCACAGTCGATCTCGTAGGATACGCACCATGCGTTTGATTTGCGTATCACCAAACTGAACATTTACAATAACTCCTTGTAAAACACTCAGAAAAAGGTGACAAAGAAAACGTACTCGATAGTGACCATCCGCGACTTTTTCGATTTTGAACTGTTGGCAACAACTACAAGCGTTTTTCTGCTTCGTGATCTCCTCGTTCACCTTCTCGTGGTCAGTCAGAGGTTTCAATTCACGCTGGAAAAAAGTTTTGAGAGCTCGAAACAAAGAGATTAGCCGTCACAAGGTGTTGCCCATATCCAGTGGAACACATTACAATCCCATGACGGGATGAGAGTCAGTAGCCAGATTGCGACGTCACGGGAATAACGACAGATGAGGTGAAACAGCCGTTGTAAACATCAGTTTCGCGAATCTCCCCTCTACCTAAGTTTGCTATTTTTTCGTTAAGCTGCATTCCACTTCCTAACCAATGTAAAAAGAGGATTCCACGATAAAGTCGTGGTAGAAAGTAGAAGGAAAAGGAAAAAAATTACCTAGTGGAAATAGAGGCGAACCACCTAAGGGTCTGCCCGACACACAATTCGCTGCGAACGACAAGCACAAGGCGATCTAGCATGGCCCACCCTGGCGCTATCGGCGCGGTACGCCCACCGACTGGCTAATCACTCGCCGCAGGTCTCTAGCCGTTTAGCAGAGAGAGCGTTAGCGTTGAAGAGGGCAGCACCGATGAGAGTCGCATCAATGCGGAAATCAACGGGCAAGGAAGGGGTCCCATTTCTCGGGTTCTGGGCCGTTTCTCATGGTTTTTTCTTCATCCCGGCACCACTGACCACCTCTACCTTGATTCTATGGCTTGATTCTAGTGGGCTGCCTTCTAATCGTAAACTCTAATCTAAATAAAGAACGAAATTATCAATCGTGAAGTCTTACAGTTCTATCGAAACGAAGCGCGTCGATAAATTCCTTCGAGTTGATCAGGCCGTCACCTTTGTCGAAGAGATCCGCAACCTTGTTCATTTCTAGGCGCGATGTGGGGAATTCTGGAAATTTATTGAGCCGGTAACTTTTGATTTAGTGATGTAGCATGTCTGAGATCTAAGCTTCAGAACTATCTACGACCAATCAAAGTCACTTACTCGAGGCAAGAACTGCGTCTATGAACACATCTCGTGGTATATTACCCGTATGGGAGCGATCATAACGACGGAATAAATCAGAAACGCGAGCCTAGAAAAAAGTTAACTTCGTGACCAACAAATGTCTTGTTCTTTTATCATTAGGTAAATTACCTTCCGGTGATCATTCCACTCCACGTACTGTTCTTTCCACATCTCCCAACGCCATCCTTCTAATCGGCGCATTTCTTCAAGCAATTGGCGCTGGCCCTCTAATGCCGTTTGATGGACCAATCGAGTCTAACCACAACTGCTTCCATTCGTCAGAGAGCTTTCCAGCAGCCGCATTGCTGCAATAGCAAAATTTGGAAGAGAAAAGGATTTGAAAGAATTGGGCGGGTAAACGATCCCCTTGGATAAACCACGCAATACTACTCTCATTCAGCAGCGATTGAATCAAGTGACACATGGCCTGTTTTAAGAGCTTGCGCGGGGTAGCCCGCACAGCCTTGTCTCGCGCGCCCGAGAAGCAGAGACCAGAATCAGTGGAAACGAGTTAGCCCTTGTGTGGGTGTGGTGTACTAATAGCGGCATCTGTTAATTGACGCCCAATCACTGGGTAATGCGCTACGACTCGTCGCGCCGGCCCTTTATGACGTGGTGCTGCCTTCCTCGCCGCGCGCGCCTCCTTCGCCACCCCTTGCGCAGTCCAGGAGATAGGAAGCTCCAACCCTATCCTCACGCAACGCGAGATAATTTTATCACCCGGAAGGATGAATTTTAGTAGCTTTGACCGATCTCTGATGAATATTTGACGTCAACAACACCGCGCTCCTTGCCAAAACACCACCTTGTCTAGCTAGTTAGAGCTGGCCACTCGTTCATCAGAACTTTTACCTTTTGCCCTTCTTGTTGAGTTTGACCGCTCCATCGATATCCGCTTGCCTTTCGCGTAATTCAAAATCGAATTCCTCAAAAGTACGTTGCGCCTTACGCATCTGTAAGATAGGAGACTAGTTGATGTGAGCTTCACTGATCACTGAATCAAAGAATGATGCCTCAATACCGATTCCAAAGTCCTGTGGGAGTGCCTGGGCAAGCATTCGATTCAATTCCTCACGCTTATGTGCAACAAACTCTAGTAACTCGAACAGGGCCTCCTCGCGTTCCTTCTCCTGCTGCTGCTGGTCCAAAAGACTGGATTCGCGTTCTGATGCTCGCTCCTCCACCTCCTACAACAAACAATAGTATAACGATGCTCCTTTTAAATGAACTTAAGAGGCGTCGGCTGTAGACGCATACACTCATTCATTCTATTTACTGAAGCTTCGTCAATTGGTGCATGGCCTGGCACGACGCCTCTTCTCGTTTTTTGAAAGGGAGGGTAGCTCGCTCATCAATCAGGAACCACTTACTTTCCATCGGTTTCAACCACTCGGAGCCAATGTTTTAGTGGTTGCTCCGCTCTCGGATGACATTTTGCCTGCAGGGCTCTGCCTGCTTCAAGACACAAATCACGATTTTCACGAGCATTGCTGAGCTCCACCTTGATGTCTTCAACCTTGGACAATGCTTGTCTCAGATCGACGTTGGGAACCTGCAAAAACGCCTGCTCAAGGTAAATCAAGTTCAGTGGCTAATCACGGTTATGAATACAATTAGGATCTGGCAATTCCTCTATAACGTACCGCAAGTCTTCCTTCAACCTCCACCAGCCAGTCAAGTATTTCATGAACTTTGGTGTCGAAATCAGTTGGCACGAGCAATGGCGTCCTCAAGCTGACCAGAACGAGCTCGAGACGCTTCTTCCAACTGGGACCACTTGTTTTTCACTCGTTCGCAGGCAGTTGCGATGTTTCCCGCTCTCGCATCCACATCTTCGCTGACAGCTGATTCCTGAAAGGCCACGATCCTGTCTCTCGTCCTCGATACACCAAGTTCAGATCCTCCATCGTCCCATGAGTCAGGGTGAATAACTATCGAGGAATCTTCTGTACTGTGTGTGAATAGTGTCAAGAGTAAATAAGAGCGCGGAGAGCACAGACACGCGCGTGGCGAGAGTAAATGACCTCGTGGGAGAGCGTGGGTGAGCAGGCAAAAATCTTCGACGAGCCGTACAACAAATCCTGACACTTCAACCGCCTAACTCCGATGGCCCCCACAGTCAGCCTCAACAAGCAACTAGTACCTAACAAATCGCTGTGAGTTCAAAAGGAAACCGTTATGCGATCAAACCTTAGTAATGATTGTGTCGAGAGCTCGTTGCTTCGATAATCGCTCTGCTTCCCTTTTCCTGTGTTCTTCAGCGAGCACTTTCACGGTATCGATGTCACCAAGCACACGGCCATCCGTGGCAGCGTTTTTCGTCAACTCAGCATCAATCCAAGATTCCAACTCCAGTACAGCATCATCGAACGCGCTACTCTCAAGAAGGGCCTGAACAACATTTCAGCCATCTTCACATCATTCCAAGCTATCAATCTTTTTCACTGCACTAACCTGCTCTACTGAGATTCGCTATGTTAACCCTTTCAAGTACTGAATTCCAGAGCCTTTTTGAATCCTTCGTTCCTAGAAAACCATGGTATTCAGTACTACAGCAGAAACCGTACCCAAATTCAGAAGTACCCTCACATTTCATTGATTTGTTTCGCTTCCGAACGCGGTGCATGATCGATCAGCGCGCGTCCTCGTTTGTAAGTGGTATCGAAGCTCTGCTGGCGTGATGCCAATTCTGACTGTATCTTCTAAAGCAAATAAACTTTGAAAGGGCATGCTCATCAAAAAGGTCATTCTCACGGACCTTTATGTCGTTGTGTTGTTGTTTGAGCACGTTCGCGTTGCCCGTGGGAACTTGTTCATCGGGAATCCTGGCCTCGACATCTTCCAATAATAATTTCAAGTTGTCGATACCGTTCATCCATACACGTGATTCATCCAAAGCTGCGTTAAGCTGCTGAAAATGAAAGAAACTACGAAATAATTTACGGTGCCAACGCTTGCTTGGAGATGAAAAGTGGAGGAAGGAGGGTGATCAACCCATTAGGTGAATGTGTCGCAGTGGGCCTCCTGGACAGGTTGATTGTCAGACTGGCTCAAAGCAACACCCCCAGCAGAAGTGTCCAAGTCTATTCAGCGGATGGGATACAGCAGCCCACAAAATCACAGATGTGCCGTTGCTGCGCTCGAAAGTGCGCGACAATGGCGCTAGGGTCTTACAAAGTGAGCTTATGGCGACTAATCTTAGCATTTGGACGAGTTACGTCGCGCACACCCCATGACACGCAACGTGGATTACGGCGTAGCGGCTAATTCAAATACGCGCGGGTTAGTTGAGCCGTGGAGCAGGCAAGTTCGTACAACTCGTCCGGCCCCGCCCCTTCCTTATTTCAAGGAATTTTGTTTAGGGCTTCATCGACGGTTTTCTTTGCTTCTTTTTTCATTTTTAGTCAACTCGGCATCCACAACTCCATTATCGACCGCTGTGACCCCACAAATTCGATCTGGGGGTGTTGCTTCAAACACTCAAAAATATCATTACTGATATTTCCATGCAAAACTAAATATACCTTGGTGCGATCAGCAGTTCTACTCGCCACCTTCTCGAAGCGATGCTTCAACGATACAAGCCCATTTTTGATCGGAATAGCATCTTTTTTCTCGCAGTAGTACTGTAGTCGCGTACCAGCTGCTTGCTGTTCTGCCATGAGTTGCTTTCTGCAAAGTACCCACATTAATTATTTGTTTATTGGCAAACATACCACTCCGAAGAAGAAATCTAAATCTCACCGCACGGCGACTTCGTCCACCCATTTTTCGTTCTCCTCCAATTGCTTCTCCAACACGTCAACGAGACAAGCGACTTACATTGGCCTGAATAAGAATAGTAGAGCATATATAACAGTAAATAAATAACATAAATAAATAACAATAATAGTAGCTACGTAAGAATGAGTAAAGTGTAAGCGGTAAAACTAGATTTAATCTTAATAGAAAAAGTCAAGTTACCGCAGCAGCCAATCGTTGTTCCGCAGCTGCCAGCCATTCGGCGGTGTCACGCATTGAACTGTCCAAGCAACTGCCTCCTCCAAGAGCCAACTGTAGTTTTTTCTCACGGTCAACACACAGTTCCTTAAAATATCACTTATTTTTGAAAAAAATCACATGCAATGGAAGTTGAAACCCGTTCTGTATGAACTTACCTTCACTTTGGACCACTTATTTTTGATGAGCGCATGATTACGAGCCATCCACGTTTGTGCACTGGTATCAGCGTTTTCAAGTGCAGCGTCAGTTTCACTGATGTAGTTTTCGATCAAGGGCTTATTTTGCGCAATCTGAAGCGACGCCATAAAAAAAGAAAGATTGGATATAATCTCTGCTAATATCGAATACAATACAAAAATAAAATATACAAGATAAAAAACATAATATAAATAATGCTAATATTACCTCTGCTCGCAGCACAAGGAAGTCGTCAAGTTGAACTTCAGCGTTTCTGGAAGTCCACCAGTCGGTTTTGTGGTCGCTAGCTGCGATTCCACATCTTCCAACCATCCCATCCACTGCTCCGTCTCCCTGCCCACTTTCTCCGCATCTGCTTTAGCCTTGAACAGATGATGTTAAGAATTCCAACAAAACTACACAAATTCATTTGAAAGCCTTACGCGCTCCATCTGCAAGGTCAACGCCTCCAGAATCTCATTCAGTTCTCGCCACTCCTTGTTCATCTCGTTCATCTTCTCCAACACGTCCGTATTTCGATCGTCTCGTAGAAGTCGTTGGGCGGCAGCATTCAGCGTCGAGACACTAGAAGTTGGCATTACATATAGGGACTTGAGAAAGACCAAGACAGTTAACTAGGACGCGTATAAGCCCGTTCCATTCTGCTCCGCCCATGTTTACGATTGTCTATTCAAACAATGAAAATGACTGTGCGGCACTTACGACTGTCTTTAAAGTCCTAGGCTCCACCGAGTACGATGAATCAATCACTCGAAGACAGTTACTACGTACAGTAAATCTTTTCGGCGCTATCGCACACTGGATGGGGGCAGCCGGTCTCACCTGATAGCCTAAAAGGCAGGACCTGGGGAGAGGTTGGTTAAAGAGTGTCTGTGTGTCACGGGGGTGGGCAAGCTTAGGCTTCAGAAAACCAGGAAAAGTGCTGCAACGTGCAAGCGGCGCGGTTAAAAGATCCCCGCCCTCGCAAGCTTGCACCCCGTTTTTTTTTCACAGAAGGAGCCAAGTTCACGTGATTCCTGCGGTCAAGTAATTAGGCGAGAAACTAAAGTTTGATGAAACTCCCTCTTCGTACGACTTCTGCGCACTATAACGGCGCGCATTAAGCTACTCCTTCAATGAAAATTAGGAAAGAAACCCAGCGAAAACAGCGTCAAACATCAGGGATAATATGACAGGGGAGAACGTATCACCATACCAAGGAGAACAAAAGCGTACACCAGCGCAGCAAGTGCTACGTAATACATTAGAAACATGTCGTCCCTGACACGAGAGTCAGGATGAACAACTAATAACAAGAATGCGAAACCGACATATAGCTACCAGATAAAGACACAAGAACATGAACAAAGAAGCGAAAAAAAGCATATACTCTATACGAGACGCCACGAAATCTACAACAGACGCACACCGCAACGAAAAGGGTTGCCCATAATAAGCGAACCAGAAAAGAAACAAGGTTGACAGCAACAGCATCGATTCCCCACACACTCGAGGATCAAATACTCGTTTGTTCACACAAATCTTATCACTCCGAAAACTCAAGCCCACAATACGTCTAGAAAACGCCGACAGCTGCACCCCTGACTCTACAGAGATGTGCAACACGAGGTTCAAAACTCACCGGTAATAAGCGTCCAAAAGCAGCAGCCATCAACTCCAGTCCACAAGAATCTAAAAAAAAACCTCAACGCTTCAGAGAGAGCTCAAATGATGACTGGGGGTCCTCTATAACTAAAACACCAACCGACACGCGAGCAAGCTCAACGTGTACAGTTCCGACCCTCACACCACACCGAGGAAAAAGAACCAGTTCAGCTTCCAAGCAGACATCCACGAAGCGCACCGAGAGCGCGCGCGCGAACCGCGTACCGATAGGTGATACAAAAACCTATCCCGGAGCAGATACGCCCGCGCTCCACCCCACGCCACTTTACGAGAGTGGAAGCAAAAGGAATGATCAATTGAGCGAGCGAGCGATTCAAAGATAAAGGCAGACATGTCGTTCATATTTCAGACATCTGAATCTCTCATGTGCCACGCGCAAACAGAATATTCGTATAGAGGGCCGCAAACAAGTATTCTCTCATTCCACCACAGGCGAATCAACTGCCAACAGCTTCTGAGAGGCGAAACGCCATTTGAAAAGCATCGCGTTCCACCTGAACACACATTGTTGACGAACGCGCTAAATTCACGTAGCTCCAAGGCCTTCGGCAGTTACGTCATGGTCAGACACAACGGGAAAAGCCACAGAAATCCCCTGAATAACCTAAGGGGAGTGGAGTGGAGTGAAAATTGCCTACCGTATAACATATTTAAAGACTTCCTGAAATTGTCAATCCGTCTTTAGGCCACAGTTCTCTCATCTAAAATTGTCCTGACAACAAATAGAGCGAACCTACAAAAAGACAAGACGACGCTGATAGTCGGCTTTGGAAAGAGAAACTTTACGCGATATAAGAGATATCATACGAAGAAGTGCGAATTCAGTTCTCTTGAGTCACAACTCTCAATACCTAAGCAAGCCACCCCTAGTAGAAACCATTAATGAAGGAACGCGATAACGGTTCTTATTCGCATTGACAATCGTTATAGCATGAAGACGGTCTAGCGAACAACACGAAATTCGAGGGTGACTATATGATAGTTCGGCTCAGCGAGAGTAACATTTTCTAATGCGAAAAAAGGACGCTGCCGCATACGGAATAGCGGAACAAATAAATCGTTAATGGTTATAGAAATCAAGACCCACAAAGCGCCGTAATGGTGCGCGCGTCCCCAGTCCAATTTACTGGGCACGAATCAATAGTTGGTCCACAAACTGCGAAGCAAACCACTTCAACAAACATCAAAAGACCGACAGTTTGAATCTCCATTCCCTGAAAGGTCCAAAAAGTGCTGCGAGTTGAAACTAAACGCCTGCCGCTAGTTCTCAACAAGACAAGCCACAGCCGCACGTCCTATGTGCGCGGACAGGGACAGCAACAAAAGCATCTGAGAGCTGTAAATCCTCCCTCCATGCTCCTAGGTAACGGCTATATACTCGCGGTGCGCACGCGCCAGCCGATAAGTCAAGAAGAACCGACCTAGCTCGAGAGCACCTCTGCGCTGAGAGAGGTCTGCGCCCTCAACTAAAAATCACGAGTTTCATTCCCCAAAAGTCGAGAAAATAAAAGAGGACATCAACCTCCCGCGCTACTCAGAGAGCAACACAGCAACGAGCGAAGACCAGACTGACTCTAAAAAACACAGAAAAAAAAGCGTAGATGCTACACCAAAACCGATGTCACCCAACAATAGTGGACGCGAGAAGCGTTGATTCTTGCTGCTGATTCGACTCTGCAGTATAGGAATCGAGTTGAAGCAACCCTCAGCCGCTAGACTATATAGAGAGTACCATATTGAAGGTTCGACGACGCAGCAGCACTGGGGACAGGAGCACCACTGCATCTGTGCCGGCGTGTAGCAGACTGTTCCGAATGATGCGACGCAGCGCGCTAAACAAGGAGAGCATGCCCGCATCCCCAACTTATATGACAAGATTGTAGAATTAGAGAAAAAGGAGAGAAACGAAGACGAGAATGAGAATCCGCGCGTAGTACAGCACAAACTAACCACATCTCCGATTGACCTGAGTACCGCCGAGCTCCCAGGCATCCGTCGAATTTGAGCTGCGATGCAGTCTTGCGTACCCCATCCCATAAGACCTCCTCCCAAACGTGTGAATTTCTCTACCTGAAAAATCAACAACTTATGAGGATATTCCCGATGACAATACCACTGAGGTCGAGGAATTCACCTTCACAGAGTCAGCGGCTGGTAACATTGCCAGCCGTTTCTCAGCACCGTCCAGCCAGTTCAGAAGATTGGACAGATCTGCATGGAATGCCATAGCATCTTCCATCGCCACCACGAGATCCCTACAACGCAGAGAACCTCATTGGTGGCAAAAACCTACAGCGAAAAATCTGATGGAGAAACCCCCTATCTTATCTGCAAAGACGCTAGGTAAATCGTTGCCGCATCCCATCAGCACACATCCACCTGAGTTGATCACTGTCTGCTCTTCAGCGGGAATAATACCAGACAATGCAACTCCGGCCTGTAAACAGCAGCACTTCCAGAAGAACAGACCAATCTCAAAAAGAATCGTACTTCACGAAGTCCAACGAGACGATTCTCAGTGGTAGCCATGCTACCGGCCACAGTCTGCATTTCGACTTGCTGGCGCTGTAACTGTTCAGGCTGCCCAGCTGCCGGTCTCGACAGACTCCAGTCTCACACGCAAATCGTCTATCTAAAAGCGCAGGAAACTAATACGGTGCAAAGAAAAGATGAAACAAATCTCCAACGAAAGATTGACCTCTTTTCAGCAGGGTCAATCAAAAACCAAGGAGAGAAAGGAGCTTATAATGAACAGCAAAACAGTAAGGACTAAATTCTCGGAAACGAACGCACCGCTCTTTGACATTCATCAAGTTCGTGCCAGAACCGTTCAGCCTTTGCCAGTGTGGACTCAAGGAAACCTCCACGATCGTCAGCTTCTTGCTCAATGCTCTTCCACAATCCGGCCAAGCGACGGAGCTTCTCACTCACTTCGTTCCTCGCAGAGTCGTCTATAAACGGAACATTGTCTGTGGTGGGTGAGTCGTACTCTCTCTCCACTATGGGAGACGTTCAGTTCTCCTCCTAGGTCAGGTCACCAGAGCTGCGCGATCATTGAAGTCTAAGGTTAGCTTGGGTTTAGGCTTAGGCTTCAGGCTTATGCTTACACATTGGCTTATGCTTAAGCCTATGATTGGGCCTAGGCTTGTCCTCGACTTGTTTCGAGCAAAATGAGTGGTATCTTACTTCCAGGTGACCTGACCTGAGGGGGAGAACTGAAACGCACCCCTGTACCACTCACCTGATGGCAGTGAAGAAAGAAGTTCGGCGGCGCTTTCTTTCAGAGCAGCATAGGCAGCTTGTTTCGATCTGAGCCCTTCTTTAGCGCCAGATTTTCCGCGATCTGGGTCTTTAGCAGTGTTGGATCCGAAGAAACCGACGTATTCTGACGGAGACGGTCAGATGCTCCTTGCAATGTTTGCACGAAGTTCTCAAGGCGTTCACCAAGTCCGCTCGTAGCGTCCACAATACTGTCCAGAGCTTGACCACGGGCTTCAACTGCTTTTCGCATGTCGTCATACCTGCGTAGAGGAAAAATGATTCATCAACGTAACTTAATCTTCGTGAAATCCTGACTGAAAGAGGTAAAAGAACGAGATCAGAAAGTGGAAGAAGGGCATACTTGGCAACAATCTCATCGGCAAGTTCTCCCAGTTTCACGCCATCCTCAGGGACACAAATCTCCTGTAGTGCCTTGACATCACTTTTAAATTGTTCCACTATTGGCACGTACGTCAGAATTTGCGGCCGAAAGCTCCTTAAAAACAGTAGTTGAACTTTGATGACTATCCTTGATCAGGTTGCATCGAAAACTAACCGCGTTATTTCACGCTTGCTTCCGAACTGCATGCAGGAGGGGTCGCAGTGGTGAGTTCGGGAGCTGTACGAAGTTCGTCATCGACCTGATCCAACCAATTTGCAAGGCGATCAAATTCAATCGTTAGATGTTGAGACAATGCCAGAGCTCGTTCCAGAATTTCAGTACGGTCCATACAGAGCGCAGTCACCTGAAAAAAAAAAAGATATTTTGATGGACACAAAATAAAATGTAAGAAGAGAGGAGACGCACCTCGTCGACAAGATCCTTTGCGTGGTCACATTGTTCTGCCAGAGCCGTACCAGACTCACCTCCTTCACCACCGAGCTCGCGACAAACCTTCTTCGCTTCGACAGTCATCTCACGAAGACGCGCCTGAATTTATTGCTGAAGAACTTGGAAAGGCCCGAATTCGTTCAGAAACCAAGACCTTTATTGGCTGCCACATCTTCGTTCATGACGAGTTGATTGCGAAGTTGAGTCCGAGCAAAGTCGGGGTCAATGGATGGAGGACCAGCAGCGACGACCCTATCGCGAGCATCACCAAGCCATTCAAGCAAGAAGCTCAGCTCGTCGAACACTGCACGGCTCTGACGGTCAGCGACATCGAGCCGCTCTGCGCGGCGCGCCACCTAAGAAAGAGCCAATATTTTTGAACGAAAACAATCAACCAACCAAAAACACATCAACCAAAACGCACAAAAACCCTGCATCAAATCGTGCTCAGCTGTTGAGCCTTTTTCTTGAGATTCTTCTACTAACAAGATTGTCGGGAAAAGCCGCTCAGCGGCTGAGCACGATTTGGTGCAGGATTTTGTGGTTTTTGTACTAACCATAAGAATAAGAGCTACCAAGAAAAAGTACCTTATCAGCAATTTGATTAACACGTCGATTCATCTCAGCTGTGCTCTGAAACAATTCGTCAGCTTGATCTGGACTGCTGAGGGCTTGCAGTTGCGAGGAAACAGCAATGAGGTCGTCTACTTCTGGACGCCAATGGCTTACACCTTCTTCCATGGAAAACACCAGCTGCAAAAGAAAAGACGTTGAGGAGACTACAAAAGCTACAAAATAATAAAATAATGTTTTAGAAGGAATTTATGAAAGACCTTAAGAAAACAGAACATGAAAAACAGTAACAGTGAGTGAAATTGCGTTCTTTTGGTTTTCATGAATAATCACTGTTCGTACCTGAGTTTGGGTGTCCAGGTCGGTGCTATCTATCTGGATGAGATCCTCTTCAACCGCTTCCACCCACTCCATGACAGCCTCAAATCCTTCATGGAATCGTTCCGAGAGAGGAATTGCCTTTGCCAGTAATTGCAACTTTTCGTCAGCAACGAGCATAATATCCCCATATCTGCAAAAATCCGAATAACATGCGGCCAGTTTAAGGGAAAACTCCTTAACCAAGAAATTGGAAAGAAAAGTCGGCAAAAAAACTTCAAAGAAAAAAGTACTGATTAATTAAGAGGAAAGTGGGAATATTCTTCCTTCGCAGTTTTCTAACCTCTTTTTCAATTGATCCATGCGATATTGCAAGGGCAGCGCTTCATCCCCTGTAGCTTGCCGGCAAAGCTGTCGACCCACTTCTATGACAGCCGTGATTTGGGCGTCCCGCTCCGTGATAGCCGTGACAAGGTCCTGGGAAATGGGTAGATTAGGATTGAAAAGGTATCGATAAACATTAAACACTCACCCCAACTATATTGCTTTGCTCGTTGAGATCGTCGGGAGCGATTGCGATTTCACTTATCTCGTCCATTTTTTGTTCCATATCGCCGAGCCATATTTCGAGGCTGTCGAGGTCCTTAGGGGAGAGTATTAGGATATGGCTCGACAAAAGAATAAGGGGGAGGCGAACTCACGGCGAATAAATCGCTGACAGTGAGAGCCATTTCTTGAAGCAGATCTCTGGTGATTCGGACGCGATGAGCAATGGACTCGTAGCGGCTGGTGATTTGATTCGCTTGCGCTTCCAAGCTATTCGCATCTTCGACGCTCACCAAAGCGCTCAGCATTGGAATAATCTAAAACCCCGATATTACTGTTAGCAAGAGAAATGGCAGAAAACATCACAGAAATAGGAGTTCAAGACGATTCTGATTTCAGTTTATAAGTTTGATTGGAGGTCTGGTCTAGAATTAGAACTAAGTGTGAAATTTATCAAAATTCCTCGCTGGAGTTTCTGAAAAATTAACATGTTTTCCGAACATATTTAGCTCCATGGTAGAAATTCGTATAAGTCTAACTTGACAAAGTCACGGCAAAAAGCAAATGTTTGCGGAATACGCCTGGCCTTAAAAAGAGCCGATAGACATGCGATAGAGGCGTTGTGGGGCTGACACTTAACCGAACTGTGATCAGCGACTTATTAGGCGTCAGAACGTTACCAGGCGCCTATTGCTGGTCATGGAGACATCAAGAGATAAGGTAATGGGAGACAGGAGAGAGCAACAGACGTATACAAAAGAACATGGTGGAGACTGATACGAAAGAGGGGTGATACTGTAACGGTGGGCGAGATACGATCAGGGATTTTAACCCCCGCCCGTAAACATGATAAGTGGCGGCACTTATTCCACCCTACATAGCTTTAGGAAGAACCAGAGCCTCGAATACGAATCTTACCCCTATCAACAATTTCTGAAAACACAAAAAAAACATACAGCCAGTGCATGATCAACGTCCTCTGCCTTTTGATCGACTTCATCGTCGAGATCTTTCTGCTCTCTCAGCTGTTCTTCCATTTTTTCCACATTTGTGGGGATTTTTCCAAGGGCGTTGAGTCGTTTTTCAGCCTGAAAGCAACAAAAGCCAACAATTGTTCGCGAGGTTAAGGGGAACCGGAAACCAATCGCCTTTGAAAGGTAGAAATGCTCACCCGACTGAGCCAAGTTTCAACGGGAATAACACCTTCCGAGAGCCTCTCTGCCAGATCGACAGCTTCAATGAGACGTCTCTGGCGATCATGAGCCGCCGCAACCAGCGCGTTATATCTGAAGCTATCTATAAATGGCTGCACCACACATTTGGGTCACACCACGACAACAAAACGACCTTTTGTTGATTTCTTCATCCACGTTCTTTCAAAGATTTCACTTCGTCCTCTACATTAGTCATGGCGACGAGCTTTCGCGATCAGTGCCGAGAATCCTTTTACACTGAAAAAACCGGCGGTAGTGAGATGATTTGAATGTTCAAAGCAACACCCCCAGCAAAACTGGAGTCGAAGAATCTATTCAGTGGGTGGATTGGATTAGAGTACGAGTATCACAGATGTGCCGTTGTTGCGACTCGAAAGCACGCGGCAATGGCGCTTGGGGACTACAAAGTGAACTTATGGCGACTGCTCTTAACGTATGAATGAGTTAAATCGTGTCCGCTAACTCAAATACATGCGGGTTAGTTGAGGTGGAGCAGGCAAGTCTCTAGAACTCGTCTGGCCCCGCCCTTCCTTAGTTCAAGAAGAATTCTTGTTCAGAGCCTCATCGACGGTTTTCTTTGCTTCTTTTTTCATTTTAGTCTCAACTCAGCATCCACAACTCCATTATCGATCGCTGTGACCCCACAAATTCGACCTGGGGGTGTTGCTTCAAAAGAAGTAATTCGAACGTACTTGAAATCCTTATCGTCGATATGTTTCATGAGCACATCATAGGCGTGGAGTTGAGCCTTTGCCACCTAGAAAGAGAAAAGGTATCATTCCAAATGCTGGCAAGGAACTAGTAATTTAGTAAACGGATGCAGACCCTAGCATCGGCAGCCGGAGGACGCTGGTTCTCCATGAGTTCCTCCGTCTCCTCAATCCAATTCAGCAATGACTTGTACGCGTCTTCGTACCTGAAAAGCCAACCGAATCCATGACTGGGGACGATATCATCAGGAAGCCGCAAACTCACCGTCCCAGTTGCTGTACAGCCGAGTCCGCTTCACGTTCCTTTTCGGCAACAGCCGTGGAAACTGCAGACCACGTGTCGCACACTTCCTTCATGGTATTGTCCTGAAAATTATTTTCTAGTGATCCTTAAACTGTTTTTAGACGTGTACCTGTTCTGAACAGGCCTTATTGAACCTTTAAAACTTCGCTCACGGAACATACCAATTCAGCCGTGTCTGCTTCTGGGCCGCCAGTTCGTATGAGCAGCTTACATTCAGACACGAAGTCATCAACCTTAAATACGACGAAATGAACTTCATCACCGGTATCACAGCAGATGGTAACCTACCCTGGTTCCAATTGCCTTCAATCCATCTTTGAGCGTTTTCAATTTTTCAGCTTGAGTTACAGGATCCGAAACCGTTACGACCGCTTTAAGAGCTTCGGAATCGCGCAAATCGTTCAGTTCACCAACCAATTCTGCCGCGTTTCTGGAAGAAAAAAAAAACCCTTGAGACTGATCTTCCCCGGAACCTTCAGTCTTAAATGCTACATACCTATGCACAGCTTCTACTTCACGAATCGCCTGTTCAATCTTCTTTTCTCGTTGAGCCAACTTTTTTCGAGCTTTTTCAATCAGCTAAACAAGTTTTGTTTATATCGACAAGAACATTAAAATTTAATTTAATTTATTACATGCTGAATATCATGTAAAGCAGACAAGAAGTCATGAAATAAGCCAATTAAAATTAAAAGGCAAAGTTCGGGGTTTCAGGAAAAAATGAAGCTCTTGCACGAAAAATAAGTAGGAACGCAAGCGCAGAGCATGTACCCACCTAAAGCCCGACTTAACAAGGCTCGAATTTACTGTGTCTCGCACTCCCCTACCCCCACCCCTTCCCGCCCATACTCCACCTCACAAATCAGCGCTATTTGCGTTGACGCTACTGCTATACGGTTATTCGACAGTACCTCCTTATTTTTACATTACTGGTGTTACATTTCACATCCCCTGTCACTTGCAAACGCAATAACACGTCAGTTCGATCCCGAAGTTTGCCTTCAGGTCACTACAAAATATCTACATCGGCAGAAGCAGTAGGTCACAAAGAGCCCATAAGGAATTGTACTATTCATGTTCATGCTATACGTAGGATAGCGGTCAGTACTACCCCCGATTGGTTTTCCTAGCACAACACCAGTGGCTTAGAAATCCTTAAAGAGGCTTGAGGACTACTGAAGGCTATTTCTTCGTAAAAGGCATATATATGTAAGATATATGCATTAATAATCGAAACGAACTGTTTAGGTAATAGAGAATAGTGCGCGACAAAACATTCTGGCGAAAGCATTTGACGGCTACCGCTACCGCTGTTAGAAGCAAAAATGGCTGGAAGGCTGTGCCACCAGCCGAAAACCTGGAAGACAATTACCTTTGTGACATCCTCAGCCAATGCCTGATTGTTTTCCATTTGAGGTTGACTGATAACACCATCCGCAACACCCTTGTTCCATTCGGCTAACACAGACTGAAGTTTGTCTTCACTTGCCACCAACTGCTGCTCAATCGATTTCACTTGGTCCTGCTGAGCGTTAAGCTCGGCTATGCTACGTGCAACCGGGTCGAGGTCGCTCAATTCCTGCAGAATGGTCAAAGTACAATGTGGGCAACGAATTGGCGAAAAACCAGCGCACGAACCATAAATATGGCGTTGGCCTCGTTTTTGACACGACTGCTTTTTTCAGACAACTTCTCCATGTCTTCTTTCTTAGCACTCAAAGCTGATTCTAATTGCTGAAGTTGAGCATTCAGTGAAGCAAAATCCTCATTAAGCTGCACCATAGTTTGATCAATGGCTTCGGCTTTCGATGGAGGGACGGTCTAAATGTAAGTACTATTGTAAATTTGACATTGAAAACAACTGTGAACTGTCACCTTCTTCAGCTCCTCAGCACAAACTGACAATTCACGTTGCGATCGATTCCAAAATCCATTTATTTCAGCAAGTCCTGAATTAGATGCAATTAATGTTTCTGCCAAAAAATGATTACATTTGTAACAATCAATCAAAATGCTCACTTGCGACTACCCTTTCGACGCTTGTAAGTTCTGCAGCTCCAGAGTTGAGCGCCTGTCGCTCTGCGTCCACAACTTGACGTGCCTCCTCTGTTAGTCGGTTGAACTTTCCTGCCAGATCGACCTATGAAAGTGTTGAGTAACTGCGAAAATCCTGGTCAATTTTGTAACTAACACTTGCTCTAGTGTGTACGATCACAACGTCAAATAGAAAGCGGATTCATGTACAAATTGGTGGGCTCAAACCTGGGCAATCCCTTTTACGGAATCGAGTCTACATTATGCTCAATAGGACTCACAAGGGAGGTCTTTCAGGGACAAAACCTGCTTTTTCAAAACGGTCTCTTGCATATTGTAGGACGCATGTATGGACCACAAAACCATGTTTCGTTTTCGCTGAACGGTTTTAGTAGTATCAAAAAAGTGGTGAAGGTACTGTTAATGGTTCGATTCCCGGTGGCGTCAAAATTTTGCATTCAAAGTTGGCGGCTACTTGTTGGCCTCAACATGGTCTGACTGTGAATATGACTTCCGATTTTGACATTTAGCGTAATTTGACACCAACCCTTAGAGTCCTCCAAAATTGCAAAATTTGGTCGCCACAGGAGATCGAACCAGCAACAGTATCATTCACAACGTTTTTGCTAAAACCGTCTACGGAAACGAAACAAGGCTTTCTGCTCCATACAATGCAAGAAACGTTTTGAAAAAGCGATGTTTGCCCCTGAACCCACCCTTCCCGAATAGAATCGACGAAATATTTCCTTAGAACCTTCACTTCAGCGATTCACAGATACATCTCGACTTGAGAGACTTCGCTGCATTCAAAAATTTGATTTCAAAATGCAGATTTCGTTGCAGCTTTGTCACAATATTACACGTTACACGAGGAAGTATAGGCAGCAATACTTCGCGGAATCACTGCCCATCTTGCACTCTGACCACTTGACCCGTGGCTATCTACCTATACCTAAAGGTATGTACCTAGGCGATGAGGGATTAGGGTCATAATCGCTCAGAAGGGCAATGCTTCACCTACAGAATACAAATACGACGTTCTCATGTATATAACAATCGTACATTGCTCTCACCGTACATAACGATTTTATCTTATTTGTAACTTTACCTAGTAGCCTAACTTCGGATCTCATCCGGAGGAGGGGAATGTGGTGCGACAGTTCATAAAGCATTTAGTAATCCACTTTTTTGCAGGGAAGGGAAGCTCGGGGTGGATGTAAAAGTTCAAGCTGAAATATAATGGTTCACGCACCCCGGGATTCCCTCCCCTTGCAAAAATTGAAATTTCTGAAGCTGCGAGAACTGTCGCACCACATTCCTTGCCCCTCCCCCTTACTGGATGAGACCCCTAATTTATTTGATGTCGACGCATGTGAAGCAGATGTCAGTCGTTTCCGCCCTTGGCTGATGCTATACTCATGTCCAAGGAAATAAACACCTGGGGATAAATTTTCGCCTGGATCTTAACTCAAGCTTCGATAGGGTTTGGGGTAACCATGGGTAAGCGTCGCCCGAAAGCGTTTACCGATTTGGAAGACCATTTATAATAGGGAGGCTCTTTTACAGATTACAATAAGAGTTGTTAACTTATTGATGGTGAAACAAATTAAAAAAAAACAATCAAAAAATTAGAATCAAAATCGAAATTCTTAGAAGTTTTCTGGAACTTCTTACAATGTATCAGATAATGAGATAATCGCATAGGGAACGCGAAAAGAAATGAGGATACCTTGCGTTGAGCAGCTTCAATGGCCAAATTGATTCGTTTGTTAAGAGAACCACAGTCATTCGCAAAATTCTCAGCATTTCGAAGGAACTTGTTCGCCTCAGGTCCCGGCGCTAACGAGTTGATGCGAGTGGCAAGTGCTGCAAAATGCGCTCAAAATTTGAGAAGGAGCACTGGGTGGCAGAAAATGCTCACCATTCAGGCTGAGGGCATCTGCCATTCGTCGTCCTGACGCACTGTCCATTGACTTCAGCGCACTTTGCGCTG